ATATACTGTATATTATATATATATTTTTTTTTTTCCTAATATAAAAACATATGTTAAATAATATAATTTTACAATATTACTGTTACTGTTTGTAAAGATTAAAAAATGTAATTGACCCCAAACTTTTAACCAGTAGTATATGTTGTCAGGCATGATTTGAGATTTGAAATTTTCACAGTGGTCTCAGATTTTGGACACCGCTGTGTGTATAGTCATCATAATTCATATGACTCTGTGTAAGAAAAATGGAAAATTGAAAAAAAACATGGTAGATCCCAGACAAAACACTGGTTGCTTAAAACTCAGCACACTCCCACATACGCATGCAGACAATGCTAATATACATTAGAGCTGAGAGCACTCACTGCTCTCATAATCATGGGCACTACACACCAGTGAGCGATGGCTGTTGCTTTCTGTAGCGCCCACGGACATGTTCCATATTCAGAAGAACCAGAGCTCTAGCAAAGACCGCATGGGTAGAGAGAAAGTGGAAAATTGGAGCCCATTATTGCATGAATACATGCATGTGCAATTTGGCTGTTTAAATTCTTTTTCAGCTTTTGGCATGTCTCTCTTTCTCTCTTTCTCTTGCTTTGTCATTTTTTGGACAGGCTGTGTTATCTTGCTGTCTTTCTCCTATTAGCATTACATTGGACATTATTTGAATATTCAGAATTTCAGTAATTCAATTTCCTGTAGTTCTCTCTTTCTTTCACTCACTCGCTCTCTCTTTCTCTCAGACATTCAAGCGTTATCGTGTACAGTTTGAGGTGCAGAGAAGACAAGTGGAAACATGCATTCAGTCCACTCAGAAGGACGACAAGCTGACTGCAGATCAGGCTCTGGTCAAACAGGCCTGGGAGAGACTGTCTGCATGGGTCAGATACACCATAGATTTGTATTATTTTTATATGAAGCTAATTATAATAAATAACCCTAATCTTGGATTAGGTCTAACCCTAATCCTAGTCCATTTACTTTATTTATGAATCACTTAATGATTTTTACCTTTGAGGACATTCAGATTTAGTCAAAATAAGTCCACAAAAAATCCACACAAGGTGTTATATTGTTTTTGTGACATAATTTTTTTTTTTTTTTTGTGACAGTTTATGTGGTATTTTTCTTACTGCAGTTTTTGGATTGGCATCTACAGCTGGATAGTGGTTTGCCTCATCCTTTGGGTGAAGTTGGAGTGTGGTTACATCAAGCAGAGAAGATCCTACGAGAGGAACTGGTCCCTCAGCAAGCTCATGACGAGACCGCCAAAGCCATTCACAAAAAGCGACTACACGACCAGGTAAATCAAGGAAATCTGTGTTTTTCTGTATGAACATGTATGGTGTATTGGAGAATGGATGAATGAGAATCTATTAATGAGTCTTAACAAAACTGCCAAAAACTTCACTTTCTTCCTTTAACATGAATTCTGAGTCTTACATTTATCTGTGTTTTATTGTGCAGGAGATCTTAAGGCTTCTTGAAAGACACAAGCAGACCTTGCAGTTAATACACAGAGACAGATGTGTTAATAATGTCCCCATTCCCATGGAACAACTGCAAGACATGGCAGAGAGGTAAACATCATAATCAATTTATAATAGAATTTAAAATTAAATTTGCAATGGCTATAAATAAAACTATATTATATTATATTATATTATATTATATTATATTATATTATATTATATTATATTATTAACCTGCTTTTATTTACCTGCCTTCAGATTAAACTACATATCTACCTCCTCACATGTTCACTTGAGCAAACTGGAATTCTGGGAGACAAAATACTCTATGCTGGAATTTTTGACACTAGCTGAGTCCAAGCTCAAATCCTGGATAATTAAATATGGCCAACTGGAATCAATGGAGCTTTTGCTACAAAGCTATGGTGTAAGTTTTCAAGCCAGAGAGATTGCAAGAGACTGTTTAACTGTTTTTTTTTTTATTCTTCTCTCAGCTCCTCCATTGCCTAACCATGCAAACATGTTTTCATACATAATAATTTTTGAGTCAATTCCATCACATTAAGATACTTATTACTTTACTTTGTGCTTTGATTCCACAATTAAAATATCTGATCTTTACTTGTGTTCATTCTTTGCTTCTGTAGTCTTTTGTGGAGGGGCAGCAGTTCTTTGAGAAGTATGAATCCAGCCACCAGGCTCTTGTAAACGCTGCTGAGCTCTACATTAAAGCAGACAGCTCAGGTATGCTTCATATACTGAACAATGATGTGCTTAATTATACAGTATGTGTGCATGTATGCCTATGGTTCTGCTAAATGGTAGCTTGGTAACAGCACTACAACTTTTAGCAATGATTTTGCAGTTTCATCCTGGTTTCACTGGTTCAAGTAATTACTTCTTTTTCCTCATCAAATTATATGAGAATCAGTAATTATGGAAAAATATGTTTTCCTGAATAACAGAAGCAGGTGCACGGGGAAGAAGGGGATTTAATAAAAAAAAATTTTTATCAGGGCTCATGAATTTTAGCAGTAGTGGCAGTCTTGGTTGAATCAAAAAATATATTTGTAATGTAGAAATCATATCATGGCTGTGCAGATAAAGGCACAGTTTTAAAAAAAAATGTTTTTAGAGAAAATGCTTAACATTTCACCATCTCAGTGTCCAGAGGGCAGAATGATAGCAGCTCACCAGCAAGTTTAATCCTTGCGGACTCAGTAGTCAATCAATCTCTCTGCCTGTAGCATCTTCCTGCTGTCTCTGTCTCTCTCTGTGTTTCATTCTTGCTCTTTTCCTTTTGGTTTTTCTTTCTCCTTCTACGTTCATGCCCCTCTCCTCGGGCCACTGGTAAATGAGGTTTTCCCAGGCACAGAGCTCAAAAGGGAATTCCAGTCCATTAGTGCAGATACTGTATTCTAATTGGGTTTCTTATAATTTTTTTTTTTTTTTTGTGACAGTTTATGTGGTATTTTTCTTACTGCAGTTTTTGGATTGGCATCTACAGCTGGATAGTGGTTTGCCTCATCCTTTGGGTGAAGTTGGAGTGTGGTTACATCAAGCAGAGAAGATCCTACGAGAGGAACTGGTCCCTCAGCAAGCTCATGACGAGACCGCCAAAGCCATTCACAAAAAGCGACTACACGACCAGGTAAATCAAGGAAATCTGTGTTTTTCTGTATGAACATGTATGGTGTATTGGAGAATGGATGAATGAGAATCTCTTAATGAGTCTTAACAAAACTGCCAAAAACTTCACTTTCTTCCTTTAACATGAATTCTGAGTCTTACATTTATCTGTGTTTTATTGTGCAGGAGATCTTAAGGCTTCTTGAAAGACACAAGCAGACCTTGCAGTTAATACACAGAGACAGATGTGTTAATAATGTTAGACATACAAGAGTTTCTGGACACTTTCATTACCAAACTTTCCTTGCCGCTTCAAGTGTCATTGTTGGATGTCAAAACCTTTATGCAGGATGTTGAGGTAAAGAGGTTTCAACATTTACTGTATTTGGAGTGTGTTGTTAAAGGGGACATCAGATGCCCATTTTCCACAAGTTGTTATGACTCTTTAGGGTCTTCATGAAAAGTCTATAACATAGTTTGGTTAAAATATCTCAATGGTAGTGTAAAACAACACCCTTTTTACCTTGTCAAAAACAGCTCTGTTCACAGCGACCCGTTTCGGTGCATGTCCCTTTAAATGCTAATGAGCTCTGCTCACCCCGCCCCTCTCTTCCTGGGGTGACGAGCAGTTCACTAAAGCTGTAAACTTAAGCCGTTTTCGTCGTGGAACTTGCTAACTAGCACTTTATTAGGAATAATTTTGCTAAGATTTGCTAAGTTTCATTAAAAAAAACCTAATATTCACTTCTTCTGGAGGTGAAGCTGGATCCCGATTGATTCACGCGAACATAAACGCATTTTGATAGATCGAGGGCGCATTCGCTTCAAAAACAAAAGTAATCCACTGCGTCTTCAGCGGCTCAGATGCCGGGAGTAAATGACGACTGCTATGTTCATTATTTCATCCAACAACAAAACACCTCAATCGCTTAGGAGACATTCTTGTCTACACCTGCTCCAGCATCAAAACAATGGCGGATTGTTTACAGCTCACTCAGGGCGGGTCTGTGGTAAAACACCAGAGTCAATCATGGGAGGGGCCTGCCAAAAGTACGTGACACTGCCAAGAATCTGTGAACAGCTTGATCTGAGAAAGAGCTTATTATTTATGGGGATTTAAAAAAAAAAGCAATGGGTGGATTTTTATCATTATAGGGTGGTTGTGTACACAGTACAGATACTTGAAAAATGTACTTAAGTACAGTAACGAAGTAAAGCTACTCCGTTACTGTCCACCACTGTTGTGTACACACGCTGCCAACACACATATATGTTCAAGCACCATGTAAAAGTGAATTTTGCAGCTGATGTCCCCCATTTTTTTCTGTATGTGGCCACAGAAATGATAAATGCAAGACAATTTCACATGCATTATAGGACATCAAGCACAGGCTGCCTGGTGTGGAAGCACAATATAAGGCAGCTGCTTGCTCTGCACAGCTTCTGGCCAAAGACTCTGTTCATGGTAGCGGAACTAAAGCACTTTCTTCTATAACAACCGCAGAAGCACAGCTCCATCAGGTTTGCGCAATGTTTGCACAATATTATGTTATCATTTCCATCTGAAAAGTTCTAGTGTTGTTTTTATTTGGTGGAACACAGAATCAGACATTTAACAGGAACATTCACTCTAGTCTTTTCAGTACATTTAAAGTGACGGCGATCACAGGCTTTCTTTCTTTAAGAAAGAAGAAAAGCATCATTAAACAGAACTAGAACTATAAATGCAAGTCTTTTGGACCACTTCATTGTACTTTCTATCAGTGTTGGAACTGGACAGCCTCTAGTCACCATTCACCTTCATTATATAGAAAAGAATAGCATGAACATTCTGCTAAATATCTGATTCTGTGTTCCACCAAATAAAAACAAAATCACATAAGTCTGCAACAGTATGAGGGTGAATAAATCACAGAATTGTCCAGTGATATGTCTGAGAATAAATGTTGTGTGATTGTTTGTTTGTATCCTCACAGCTGAAAGAAAAGTGTCCTTTAATTCTGAGGGAGTGCCAGGCTCTATTTCCTCTGTTAGAGGAGTTAGAGAAACAAATCTCAGCTTTCTACCAGACAGCGGAGCATGCTGGACACATCATCACACAGCAACACAACCAGGAAATGTGCCAGGTCAGTACAGACCACTGGGAGAAAAAGATTATTGGACCATGAGGAATACAGTGTGGTCAAGTAGTAATGATGTGACAAATAAGAAGTGCCTGTCTTCTGTAATCTGTGTGAACTAGAATTGATCTCTGTGTTTATTTCTGTTTTATTCATTTTTGGCAGGAGCTACAAACTCAGCAGCAGACCTGTAAGCGTTGTGTTTGCGCTATGGAGCGCAGTTACCTGTCCCTACAGAGGGCGCTGTGCTGTGCGAAATCTCTGCACAATTTTGACATGTCGTTCCTGCAGAACAGAGTAACCGAGATTCAGACCACTGCACAGGTTGTACTACATTACAGATGTGCAATAAACTTTTCATACACTACCATTCAAAAGTTTTTCTTTTATTCAGCAAGTTGTTTAAAAAAAAAAGTAAATACATTTTTAATGTTACAGAATATATCAGTTTCAAATAAAGGCTGTTCTTTTCAACTTTCTATTAATCAAAGAATCATCTTTTCCACAGAAATAGTAAGCAACAAATCAGTTTTCAATGTTGATAAAATAAGAGAGCACTAAATCAGCATAATGGAAAGCTTATTTATTCAGCTTTGAGATGGTGTATTTCAATTTAAAAAAATTGACCCTTATGACTGGTTTTGTGATCCAGGGTCACATATACAGTATATGCAATCCAAGTCTTCTGAAGTCATACAAAATTTAAGTCATCATTCACTAAAAATCCTTACCTCTGCAGCCTCTCTAAGTGGAGATTCTCTAACTCTTGCTTGTGTTCTCTAGTTTGGATTTGTTTATCAACTACAGAGCTGATAGAGTAACTGTGTTCAAAAATCCTTACCTCTGCAGCCTCTCTAAGTGGAGATTCTCTAACCCTTGCTTGTGTTCTCTAGTTTGGATTTGTTTATCAACTACAGAGCTGATAGAGTAACTGTGTTCTGCTCTGGTCAGGCTCTAATGCAGGAGGCTTTAGAATGGAGGCAGGTGGCAGAGACTAATGGCAACCTCATGCGGAGATATGAAGAGTCTCGCGCTGACCTGGAGAAGGCGCTGTGCGTGGGCCAGGCCTGTTTAAAGGAAAGGGGAGAACCAGATGAGCTGTTCCTCAAACATAATGTACGTCAATAATGTCTTACCCTTCAAACATATTTAATTTGTCTTGTTTCTCTAATTAAGTGTGTAATTATTTGCTCAGGAGTTCTTTGGGCGACTGGACCGGCACATTTTAAGTGCTTATTTAAAGGCGTGTGATGACCTCACTGATATCATCTCTGAGGAAGACCAACAGAGTCTGCGGGAGACAGTCAGACAACTGCACAAGCAATGGAAGGTCAGTTGAAAGGTTAAAAAAGATGAAAATGAAGACAGTTTAACAGGAACTTCTCCTAAAGGATTAATCATGATGCATTTTCTTTCTACCAGGACATTCAAGCCGAGGCCCCATCCCATCTGCTCAGACTCCGGGTGGAAACAGAGAGGCGTTTGGTGATGGCCATGCTACAGGAGTGTCGGGTAGAGCTGAAAAGGGAGGACAAGGCCCTGCTCACAGCCGGCAGTGAAAGAATGATCAAAGATCACAGGGTGAGATACAACAGATGACGAAAAGATCTTGCAAGTTACATTTCATGAAAATGTAATATTAACATTTATTTATGTGTCTTAATAGGCCTTTTTCAGACACAAAAACCCTCTTTCTGCTTGTGAGAAGCGAGTAAAGACAATGGAGCATCTCTGTCAGGATCTTCCAGAGAATGACATGGGCCATCAAATGCTAGAGGAGACCAGAGATCATCTTTCGGAGGTCAGGGGTTTAGTAGAACGAACACACTTGAGACTACAACAGCACCCGGATAAATGGAGAGAGTGGCATGCCAGGTGAGATGCAAACATTACATTTCACATTGGGACACATTACAGATTGAATTCTGTCCATATTGCTTGTTAATTGCAATTAAATTTAAAATTTTATTAAATGCACTTTAGAGCTGAACTTTAGAGTGATTTTTGACCTACTTAAGCAAGGCTCTTTTTTAACATTTGTATCTGTAATTTTTCATGCAATTATAATTAATTATATTAAAGCATACTGCTGAATATAGCATTTATTATTCAAAAATAATTTATTTAATATCATTTCTATTGAACGTTGTATGCAATGTATTTAAATTTAATTTTAACATTTGTATCTGTAATTTTTCATGCAATTATAATTAATTATATTAAAGCATACTGCTGAATATAGCATTTATTATTAAAAAATAATTTATTTAATATCATTTCTATTGAACGTTGTATGCAATGTATT